CTTCCCATCTGTGAAATGATTGCTCTAAGCTAATGCAGTCACGCTAGCTGGGAATTGAGCTTTGATATGCGAGTATACAGCTCTTCTGGAACTGAGTATTTCAGCTTGAGTATTTGTTACGCTGCACTTCTCCACCCTTTGCAGTCCCTTTTCTCTCTCACTGTAGGATTACAGGCCGTACAGGCATCCAGAATCTCCAGCGGATAAACTGTGCATCCAAATAAGGTTCCTGATGAGGGGTGCAAAGGCTCAGAAAGCTGGTGGGGTGCACAGTATGTTTTCCTCCCCGGCATCTACTTGGAGAAGCAAAATGCAGCTAAAGCTCCCTGTGTAAATTCAGCTACCCTTTGAGGTCCTTTCAGCCTGCTCCATGCATGCCCTGGGAAGTTAGGTTTTCCTAACTTCAGGCTTCAGTGTCCAGGTGCCTGAAGCCATGAATCAGCTGAGTCAGCAGAGAGCAGGCAGCTGACTGCCTCCCAGCATTTAAGCTCAGAATAGTAGTTTTCAGAGGCTCTCCAAATGGAGTCAAACTATTGAATTCATTGCTCTAGTTAGCCTGAAAGGTCCTTAGTAACACCCTGAACCGCTACAGTAAATACGATTGGATGTACACTGGCATCGGCAATTGTATTCCCTCGGGAACAACACGTCAGCTGTGATCAAGATGCGAGATCTTGGTCTGTAGCCCCTGAACAAAACTGTCTAAATCAGTAGCTAGCAGGCCATGGTCTGCAGGTCCTCAGTTGTCCATGAAACTCTTCCAGGAGTTAAACAAGGTGAGAGAGGAAAAGAGTTTATCTTTGGAAACAGCTGGGGGAAATGGACCATGGAGACTTGGCTCTCTAAGCAGAGCAGTGGAAGCTGAATGCCACCAGACGCTGCAGGGCATCGTGCTAAATATGCTTGTGATGAGCATGCATGAGATGCGACAGACACAGCCCTAAAGGAGCTGCCATTTTCATCATTTTGTTTGCTTGGTTGGGATATTGTTTTTGAATAAGCAGCAATACATTCTCTGCCATCCTGGATGCATGCCAGGAAAAGTCCTAAACCTTTCTTGCTAGCATCTGTATATAATATAAAGGGTCATTTATAATCTCTGTAAGCCATGATGGGGCCTTTCATCACGTTGTCTGAAGCCTGTTTGCATTCTGGAGACTGTTCTTGCTGACTTTTGGTTTGCAAAGAGAAATGTTGGGGTGGTTTTGTCTGTCTCTCGTCTGTCATAGTCACTGTGCTATGATATCTACAGTGAGTTCCAATCTGTGTATCCTAATAGATGCATTTGTAGGAAAGCTATGCTGTTTATGGGAAGCTAAGGGTGTGATGTTTTGCAAATGGGAATGTACCTTTCACTCGTAGGTGGGTACCTCTGTAAACAAACTCTTCCGCCTGCTGGTGAAGAGAAATATGTGTTCGTGTGGCATTATTTGAGTGTCTTTGGGGTCTGAACATTTTTTGTGATCCACGCTGTGGTAGTTCTGCTTTAGAGAAGACTTTGGGAGTGCTGGGGTGGCAAATGTTGTGGTACTTTATCACTGTCACTGCACACTTGGTGCTCCTGCTCAGGAAGGTGGAAGGTTGTCTCTGGATTTGAGTGCAGGATCTGTTATTCTACCATGGGCTATCAGTCCTGTTTGCCTAGCAAACCCAAGTGATGGCTTCAGGCAAGGAAAGCAGTGAATGGAGAGCCTTTGGAAGCTTCTCACTTCCAATAGTGATTGCTTGCTTTTATAACAGGTTACTGAGCAGGTCATCTAAAGTCACAAACCTGGACAAGTATTTGTTTTCTTCCCCCACCAATGTCCAGGCTTCTGTTCTGTGGACTGTAGTGAGGGAGCAGCCTTTACCACCAACTGCTGCTCAAGGCTCTGTCACTAGATTGTAGCAAGGTCTGTCCAGCATGTCTCGCCTCCACAAAAAGCTTTTTCAAGGCAGAAATGACAGCATGACTGCCAAATTCCTTGAGCTTGCAAGGGGATAGTTACCTGAACAGCTTATTCCAAGGACCAGGTAGAGCAAAGGTGCAAGAGACCTAGTCAGACAGCAGGAGTTTTGGACTCATTTGGAAAGAAAATCAGCAGCCCCCACTGAATGAAAGCTCTGGTAAAACCAGCTTTGGAAGCAGCCTAAAATAACCACCCTTTCTTGCAAGCTTTGACAGAGGCAGCCTGCACATTGCCACCTCTTTAGCTCCAGATCCATTAATGTAGTGCTAGACTCCCAGGCTGGCTGAAAATAATCCTTGAAGGAGCAAGATGATATTAAATGTGGTCTATGCAAGGGCAAGCTAAAGGGAGTAATGGTTAGTCTCCAATTTCTCCTCAGGAGCTGCAATTTGGAGCTGCCATTCTACATTAACCAGAGCAGATAGGCTGCCAGATTCCTTCTGGTAATCACAGGGTCTGCCTTCATAGCTGCCTTGCTTTTCTGCATCGTGCTGGGGTATGTGGTGGTGATTGTCTTTGTTCACCTTCCCACCTCATTTGCCTTCAGGACTATGAAGTTCTCCAGACTCGGCATCATATATGGAGGGTTTTGCTCAGAGTGCAGTTGAATTCTTTTGGTTTTATCTGACAGAAGTCCTTTGTGTGCACCCAAGAAGGCAGGACAGGTTGTCTTGGAAACCCACCAAAATCAGGATTAGAGTGAAATAATCAGTGTAGGGTAATCCAGCTCCACACCATGGAAACAGAACTTCATCCCAGATGACTGATGAAAGATGGGAGAAGGCCAGAGGGACACAGTTAAGGCATAGTATGTGTAAATAAATATTTATTTGGATTTCATTGACAAGCCAGACAAATGGTCTTAACATGAGGGGAGGCACTCAAGTCCTTGATAATTCAGCTGTTTTAAAACATTTAGTATCTTTAGCTTGAATTTGTTAGTATTTGTGCCCCTTTATGCTCTGTTACATGTTGCTAGCATTGCTCTTGTGTTGGGACTGATGCTTCTCGTTGCTCTTGCCATTATTGTGTCAGGTTCTGTACGTGTGCAGTTTGCTTTTCCTGACATGAAATGCTTTGGCCTTGGGGCTCGTGGGTGTTGTGCTTAAAACAGACTCAAGGTAGATCATACAGAGCTGTGGCTTCCCCAGCCCTGCTTGACTTGCCCCTTCTCCTGGCATGAGATGTTATCCAGCAACACCCGTCTCAACAAACCCCACAACTGAGGCTTAGAGAGACGAAACGGCCAATTGCGCCATGTGTGCATGTGAAACAAAAAGGAAGACTTCACTTTGAACTGTCACATTTCTGGTCTTTAACTCCTTTTTGTCTTTGGGTTTTGCCCCCTAAACTTTGAGCAGAAATCATGTTGGACCTGTTAAAAGATCTGCTGTCATCATGTGATCTGAAGCTTCATTAAGCTTCTGTTTTTTCCCCCAGTTTTGTTCTGTGATGTAGATGTTAGTAGAAGCATTTGGGTACTGTGGTGTCTGATCCCTATAGGTACACCACAGATCCTCAATAAAGCTGAGAAGTGGTTCTCCAGGACCTCCACACCAGCCTGGGGTCACCTGAGACGTGACTGTAGTCCATGCTTCCTGATGAGGAATTGCAAGTGGGTTTACAGTGAGCAGGAGCGTTGTCTGCAGGGAAAGCTGCATGGCTCTGCCTTGGTGTTGCTGTTGGGGTCGTTGGCACTGGGTAGAAAGCCACCCTGTCTCTGGGTTCCCAACTTCTCTGGCTGTAGCTGCGGCTCGGTGAGCTGCTTGCTGGCCCCAGCTTGCCCATTGTGGTCTGCAGCACTCGGCTCAGCCGCTGGCGCCGCTGGCGCCGCTGGCGTTGGTACCTCCTATTCATGGAAATGAGTTATCCAGAGAGCAGGGAGCCTCCTGTGGAGATGGAGTGGGATCCAAAAAGGAAACAAACCACAACAAATGCTGTAAATGGCAAATACTAGAAAAATTAAACTGCCGTGGGGAAGGTGAGTTAGGGAAGGAGGAGGGGACCTGCAGGTGCCTGGTCCCACTGTGCAAGCAGTTTGATTTTTAGTATGCAGGGCTGGGGAGCCACTGTGATACTTGGAGAAGAAGGGATCAGCTGTACTGGAGGCTCTTGCTTTAAGAGGGATGAGGAGCTAGGACTCCTCTGCATGTGCCGGGAATGCTTACACAAGCATTTTGTGTGTATTAGAGCACAAGCTGGTGTGTCTCTGCTTCCCACTCGTGACCCTGGTTCTGATCCCCAATCAGTAAGTAAGTGGCTCTGGAGCCTGTTAACTGTGCTAAGGTACAAGAAGCAAAACCATGAACCAGCATTTGGCAAACATGAGTGATGCTTGCAAGGGGAAAATGGAAGTATCCTTTCCCCCCCCAACTCAAGCATATTCTTCAGAGAAGATGGAAGAGGGTCCTGATTCACAGGGCTGACACTGCAGTTCCTCCTCACGCACCTTTCAATGAGGAGTAACCTCACTCTTGTTTTCCTGTGAGCCAGCATAAGACACCAGTTCCTCCCTTCTCTGTGTTTTCTCTTGCCCATTTTTCATCTGTAACCTCACCAGGACAGCAATATGACTTGCTTGAGCTGTGCTGACAATGAGCTCCACCACACCAAAAAGCAGAGTTTTCCAGCTCAGACATTCTTTGCGGAATGATACCATAACAAGCAGGATGAAATTAAGACCAGTACAATGGGAACTGACTATCAGGAGATTTGGAACACTTCTCCCCCTTTCCTCCCCCACCCTTTCTAAAGTCCTATTGTTTATGATAACAGAACTAAATTATGTACTATAAAACTCTGGCCTCTGAGGACCAAGCAAGAGGCGTTACTGGATCTCTTGTGGTTCAGGTTGGCAGAAGCAGGGAATCTTTCTGCAGCTATTGGGAGGAGAGGGTGGGGTGAGAACTGAAGACTGCAAGTTAGGCTAGCTATGGCTGGCAGCAGCAGCAACCCCACCCCCAGATACTTGCTCTGTGTTTGCTGCAGTGTGATGTATATTGGTTCAGCTTGCTGTCTTCCGGGGGCTAACAGTGTCCTTTCTCTCTGCAGGCATTGGTGTCACTATACGGTTACACGGACAGTTTCCTGCCAAGTGCAGAATGGGTCAGAAACGGTGATCCAGCGAGTTTATCAGAGCTGCCGGTGGCCAGGACCTTGTGCCAACTTAGTGAGGTAAAAATCTTCATGTCTCACCTTGCCCGCATTTTCCTCCACTTCTCACGAAATTGGTTAGCTTTGAAGGACTGGGTAGAGGGTTGAGATCAATGGGTCAGATGGGAAATCCAGCTTCGTGGTGGCATAACCAAAGAGTGCTGCTTGTGTTAGCTGCGGAGCAACTACCCATGAAGGTAAGTGGACTATCAGAGACAAGCTGTGTGAGACAGTTTAGCTTAGGTTGTAGTGCCAGTCTGTGCTTCTCCACATAGGAGAGTGCTGTTAGTCAGGTGTAAAGCTAAATAAATGTAAGGTCCAACAGAGTGCAGTGTGACTGAACAGGGAGAGCAGGGGTGCTGGACCAGTGGCACTACGTGGCTTGTTGGTGCCGAGTCCTCCTACTCGGGTCTTCAAGAGTATATTGATCAGGTAAGGTAGAAAGCTTTGATCATATTCCTTGCAGCTGGTGATGGATACAGGTAATGTGCCCTGTACCTTTCACAGTGGAATTTCCTTAGAGTGCTCTTACTCCCACATCTCCATATCCTTTAGAGGCATGCATGAGCACAATGTCTTCTCTCCCTAGATGAGAAACAAAGCTCAAGAGACATTGACTTGTCAAAAACTTGGCCTGAGCCTGCTTTGCCTTTCTATCATTTACAGTCTTGAAACCTACCTGCATTCACCCTGAGTGAAATAGCTATCCCCAGCTACCATCTTTCACTATGCAAAATGTCCTTGTGTTGTTGAGCTTTGCCTTTTCTGAAGGACATTCTTAGAGCAGAATAGTGTTACCCACCCATCTGGGAACTGGTGTAAAAAACCCATTGTGCTCTAAATTTGCACCTAGCTTCTCTAACAATTTCCCATGTAGACAAGCTCATAATTTAGCTCACAAAGCTTAGTCATTTTATTGGTGTTATTACCCGTTCACCCACAGGGCACTGAGTGAGGGCCTCATGTAATTGATAACCTAGCCAGAATGTGGTTGAACTTCCCACTGAAATACCCAGAGACCCACCTTCCCAGACTGTTCTTGTGACTCTTCATCTGGAATTCACATTTTCCATGTGGCAGTTACCACAGTTGGTTCTCCAGTTTCTACTTGGCCAGTGGTCAGTGGGAATTTTTTCACTTGTAATATATCTGCTTTGGTGTCTCTTTGGTCTTGTTTTATGCAAGGCTGTGGTTGAAACACTTAATATTTTACACTGTCATGGCCAAACTTCTGTGAAGCTTTTTAATTTCCCAGACTTTTTATGCACATAATTGTCATTAGAAACTTGTGAGCTTTCACCTTGTCTCCTAAACTTGCCAAAAATCTTGCTTATTTTTCCCTGCTAACATAACTATAGTTTCATAAGTACCAAACAATTGATCATGTTACTAGTAAAAATCCTTTTTATGGGCTCCTGCAGTTACTCATACACATCGATTCTTACATTGTTAACCCAGAGCCTTTAGGAGTGGTGTGTGCTCTTGTGACATTGTTATTCATGGAACTTTTCAGTTTCAAATGGAGTTTGGTTCATTTGCCTGACGAGTCCAATTGTTTGGAGACAATGCAGACTGGCAGCAGACTTTTCTATGTGAAAACATGGAAAGAATCTGGGGTTATTGATAATTAAGGTCTCAGCTGGTGAAAACTCAGTGGACAGGAGCTGTGTTTCTGGAAGGCAGTTCACCTGGAGGTATGTAACAGATGTGTAGATGTGGTGCTTAGGGACATGGTTTAGTGGTGGATTTGGCAGTGGCAGGTTAACAGTGGGACTTGATGACCTTCAAGGAACCTCCCAGAAGAGCTGGAAGGATGCTAATGCTCTGTTCTTTTTGCAAGTGGGAGGAAACGCAAGCAAAGTGAATGGCACCCTTCTAAAGAAATGACTGTGCTGTCTGTCCTCTAATCATGCCCCATATGATGTTCCTGCATGAAGTAGAGAGAGACCTTGGACATCTCTTTCTCAAGGACCTTTAGAAAGCTGCTGACAAATGCTAGAGGCAATCCGTTTATCAACAACGGTAAAGCAGGAGTGACACGTGCTGGCTCCTGATAACTTCCTGTACTGCCACCCTACAAAAGGGAACATGTAGCAATGAAGTCGAAGCCACTGACATCCTGAGAGCTGAGTGGGTTTTTGAAGTTATCCCCATGCCAGACATCTTTTATAAGTGGCTGCTTGTTTCCAGCAGTGCATCCGAGTTCTGAGAACAGAATGAAACACAGCCACTGAAAATGATGGATCCTGTGACATGGAACAACTGTGGGCAACATCTGGTAACCCTGAGTCATGTTGTATGGTTGAGGTGCTGGGCCTACATGCTAACCTATCAATATTATGTTGCCAGCACCTAGGGATATGTGACTAACTGGCTTTCTGTTGCCTCGGAGTCAAGCAGAGGTTGATGTATTTTTTTTTATCCTCTTTCACCAAAATTAATATTGTCTCTTTAGGAGATGCCAGTTTTTTCTCTGAATTCAGATGAATCCAATCTCCTGTTTTCAAGTGAAAATTCCCAAGGATAGCAACAAGACAGACAGTCCCCAAAGTCACAGGGCAGTTGAGTCCCTCTTTTATTCAGCACTTCACTTGCTAGTGCAGTTCCTTGCAAGTTGTGCTTTGTTTTCTTTCTTTTTCTGCTTAGAAAGTGGCTTTGGAGGGGCTTGTAAGCTTACAGCAGCCACCATGCTGCACAGCTTCTTTTGGCAGGTCTCTGAAGACTCCTACAGAAGATGAACAGAGCAGAAAACTGAGGTTCCCTACTCCCCCCACCTCCTCTACCTGGTAGTTTGAGAGGGATCTTTACCTGCTTTTCCAAAACAAAAACCAACCAAAACTCTATCTTAGCATGTCTGAAAGCTTTGGGTGATACAGGTCTTTGTCTGGGAGCTGTCCTGGTCATGGGATTTGTGTCTTGGGGGGACAGCCCAAGTAGGGACATCTTCAGTAGATAGCTTCAGCAGGGGACAGCAGTGTGCTAGTATCAGATGTGATGGTGTCCTGTGCCAATGCGTTGCAAAATGCCAGAGAGAACTTATGCTAGCTTCATGGAAAGGGAAACAGTGAATCCCTTCTATAGGTCACCAGCTCTTGATTGTGTTCCTGTAATATGGAGGAGCTTCTGTATTTTCTCTGTGGTTCTTAAGGATTGCCTGCCTGACTCCGTCTGCTCTACATGACAGTGTAGCAGGAATGCTTCACATGGCCAATGCTTCATTCCCATCAAACAATGTTGTTTCTGTTTCCTCTTTACCTTCTCCGTACTAGTACCTCTGCCTTCAGGCTTTCTGGAAGTTTAGTTTCTAGTGATATCGACTTACTCCAGGTTTTGTAGTGGCTAAAAATGTTTGTGCTCTCTATATCCCTGTGGTTGTTCAGGTAATATATCTTCTTTCCTTTGCCAAAAAGACAAACAACATCTGGGCACCTTGTCTTTTTCTTTAGTGAGATTTCTGGTGCTTGAGCTTGAAGAGGGGCACAGACAGATTCACAAGATCTTATGCATGACTGTAGGCAATGCAAAATGTCAGTCAGCCATTGGCATTAGTTTGGCTTTATAGTATTTCTCCCAGCTGCACTTGAAACAAACTGTTTTCATCTCCTTGTTTGCAGGGAGTCGGTATCTGAAGAAGCTTTCACTCTGCCAGCACCCATTATCGGGCTGCTCACTAGCTAAAGGGACGCCAGCCAAAACCCAAGGCATCTCTCAGCTCGTGGTGACAGCTGAGAGGGGCTCTCTGGTAGAGACTCAGCTTACAGCAGACATCGGTGTGGCCAGACAAGGATTTAATCTATTTCCTGTCTCCCATTCATTCGTGTTAGGTTTCTTTCCCTTATTGCACAAACTGCAGCTCAGGGTCAAGCCTTTGACAGAGGAGGATCCACAAGATCCCCAGCCCAGCAGCTTTAGTGATGTCCTTGCTCTCTGTTCACTTGCTGTTGGGCAGCTGGCAGCTGTACTTCTGCAGGAGTGTCATCATCTTGGCTGGGATGGGATGAGCTGCTCTGTTCTTGCCCTCCACCCCAGACTCTTTATTTAGCTTGGGTGCTGAGTTGCTTTGGAGCAGTCTTGGCTGGAGACTTTTCCCTCAGCAGATCTGTTCTTGAACTCTTTCCATTTGTGTAGTGAAGGCTTCAGCTTCTGCACGCCATAGGATATGCCTTTGCTTTGTCACGTTACGAAGTGAACAGGCAACTTCCCAGCAGCCTGGCTGAAACTCCTGGTGTACTTAGAAAATCATATGCCGTTTATCTGTCTGAAGGAAGTGATAAAGTCTTGGTGTTTCAATAGCAATGTAATCTCTGGGGCTTTGCTGCCTGGATGGTTGCACCCACCTCCCCATAAAGCCAGGCATCTGAATGGTAACCCATCTCCTGAGCAGTCCCTTTGCTGCGGCAGCTAATGCAGAATGCTGTCATGCTGAGGATGCTGCGCTCCTTGAGGCTCACTGAGCAGGGTTGGTCTCATAGGCCAGGCAAGGATGAGAGGCCTGCTTCCAGTTGCTGCAGCTTTCCTGACTTCTGTGTCTTCAGTCAGGTTATGCCACCTCACCTTGAAGATGAGGACAGCACTTCTTTTGACTTACTGTGTTTTATGACTTTGAGAATAAGACAACTTCTTGCTATAGCCCAGTTGGCCAAAATCAGCCTAATTTTCATTACAGTATTTGTGCATGAATGTTGAGGTCAGTGAAACAGTGTCTTGAGAGGTAGGTGACTGATGAACAGCCAGGCAGATCATGCACTGTTATAGCCTTCAGAAGACAAACATTTTCTGCTTCAAACTGTTGTTGCTGTGAAAATCCCTCTCTCATTTCTGGAAGCATGCTGCTTGAGAGTGATATTTGTCTCCTCTCCTACTTGTCTCATCTGAGAAAAATGAATGTTCCCAGCAAAGTTTTGTGAGGTTTTTATCCTGCTCTCTCTTGCTGTACTCAGTGGTCACGTATCTGTCTCACTTTCTAGACTTTAGGCATCCTGTCTCTGCAGCACTTTCTGGCTTCAGAATCTGAAGATTCC